ACGTTTTAGAGTTGTTTGTTTTCATGGTGATCACGTGTTGTGTGACTGTTATGTTATTGGTGTATGCTGATAAAAGGAGAGAAATGGACAATTGTGCATCTGTTTGGGGTATGTGTATTGTTGACTTTGTTAAAATATTGCTTTTTAAAATTAAATTTAGAAAGCCATAACAGCAAAGATCATGATTCATTAATAAAATTCTCCAGTCGTATTTATTGGACTGGAACGCGTGAAATCTACACAATTTAATGAATCATGAACAACACCGAAAGTAGTTGCACCAGTGTTAACATAATTTGTAGATGTGGCGTGAACTTATGAGTTTCCATGTTCCCCACTGCAGTGGAACTTCAAACGTGTCCGTTCATTCACCTCCACCAGGTCATATATGGGTGAGACATGTCTTTTTTATCGAGTTGATAGTGATAGATATAAGTTGTGGTCACGGAACATAGTATAGAGGTCAATGACCTGTCGTACTGATTCAATATAAAACAACAGGAAAGTACTAGACCAAAATACTTAGCATACAAACTTAGTTTGGGGGATCTACTTAAAACACCCAGTGATTATAATAACCACAGGGGCGCCTAGATTGGATTCGAGGAATTGACAATATAACCCACGAGGATATGACACGTGCATATGCTCTGATAGCATTTACGTTTATTCATAGACTGTTTTCTACAAAGTACATTAAAACTTGACAAAACCAAATAGCAATAGGGCAGAGCCTCCAACGTTTAGCCTTTAGATTGCGAGTGTCCAGTTAATACAGTCTTATTGGTGTTACCTGTGGCTACATGTTCGGTTTAGACAGGTCTGCGATAGGTTACTTGGGGTTACCGGTACATTCCGGTTTGGACAATTTGTTTTTACATTAAATGTGATACCAATCGTATCATCCATTATAAGTTGAAACATTTAGAACGCGCATTTAGAAACCAACATTTTCGGCTCGAATCTTAAAAGAGCGTAGAATGACGACTTGTATGCGTTTCTTAGATCGTGGTCAACGAGACACAGTGAACTAGACCCCTGCCTTCTTTGCACATTGTGATACTCCACACACAATGTTTTGTGACAAACAAAGAGGGTATATTACTTTTTGTGTC